TTCCCTGCGCCTTTATCTCTTCCACCATCTCCAGGCGCAGCCCTTTGGTACCAGGAGAAAACCCACGCGCAGCTCTCTGCGCCTCTCCCTCGGCCGCCTTCGCTGCCACTGCAAAGGGGGCTTGCACTTTGGCATCCGCAGATCTTCTAGCCACTCTCCCGTCCGCTCGTGCACCATTCTCAAGCCGCTGGCACCGTGGGGCTTTTTAAACCCCTATACCAATAAAAGACATAAAGAAGGAGGAGTTGGGACATAAGGATTCGGGGGGATATTCTAAATCGGATCTTCAAGGACTGGAGGAAAGCGAACCATTTATCTCCCCCCCACTTTGGCATCCGCAGATCTTCTAGCCACTCTCCCGTCCGCTCGTGCACCATTCTCAAGCCGCTGGCACCGTGGGGCTTTTTAAACCCCTATACCAATAAAAGACATAAAGAAGGAGGAGTTGGGACATAAGGATTCGGGGGGATATTCTAAATCGGATCTTCAAGGACTGGAGGAAAGCGAACCATTTATCTCCCCCCACCGCACCCCCGCAGTAAATAAAATACATGCATCAAAAGAAGAAGGGGACGCGTCGTTATTCCTGATTTACAGTACTGTGTGCCTGGGAACAGAGGAGGCATCATCTGAACAAAGCCTATCTCGAGCAAACAATCTGACTTCTGAGCCAGATCATAATCAGAGACCTGCATATCATTTTCTCTGTGCAGGGGTAAGCCAGGGAGTACAACATACATTACATTTTATCCCAGCCATCATCCTGCTCGAGTGTGCTGCTATTAGGAAGGAAGAGGGGGAAATACCTTGATTGTGTTTATCTCTTCATCTCTTTTGTTATTTATCGAGACCTGGGAGGAGGAAGAAACGAGAAAACAGCACTTTTCAACACATTCTTTTCCTCCCCTCTAAACACACTGGCTTACTGACATAGATCTCTGGAAGAAAAAAAGACTCTGATTGGGAAATGTATTTCTAATACATTTTAAATGATCTACCTTGTTATTTATAGTCCAAAAAATTAGATAACATCTTCCATTTCTGGACCTGCGAGGCCATCACAAGGAATGCGCTCTGCCTTTCCCAGTTCAAACAGAACAACTTGCCGCCTTTAGTTTGATTTTGATTCTGATTTTCCCCCCCGCTTTTTTTTAAATGTTCCTCTCCTGGAGTTTCGAACTGTAAAAGCATCAGGGTGGGGGAAAAGGGGCTTTGAGAAAGATTGTTGCAAAGACTCAGGCAAGGTAAGCTCTCTTTAACTAATATTCCTTTGCAGGTGAAAATGAAATCGTTTTGTTTGAAATCTCTCTTTGTTTAGAATGCCAATAGATAGATAGATAGATAGATAGATAGATAGATAGATAGATAGATAGATAGATAGATAGATAGATAGATAGATAGATAGATAGATAGATAGATAGATAGATAGATAGATAGATAGATAGATAGATAGATAGATAGATAGATAGATAGATAGATAGATAGATAGATAGATAGATAGATAGATAGATAGATAGATAGATAGATAGATAGATAGATAGATAGATAGATAGATAGATAGATAGATAGATAGATAGATAGATAGATAGATAGATAGATAGATAGATAGATAGATAGATAGATAGATAGATAGATAGATAGATAGATAGATAGATAGATAGATAGATAGATAGATAGATAGATAGATAGATAGATAGATAGATAGATAGATAGATAGATAGATAGATAGATAGATAGATAGATAGATAGATAGATAGATAGATAGATAGATAGATAGATAGATAGATAGATAGATAGATAGATAGATAGATAGATAGATAGATAGATAGATAGATAGATAGATAGATAGATAGATAGATAGATAGATAGATAGATAGATAGATAGATAGATAGATAGATAGATAGATAGATAGATAGATAGATAGATAGATAGATAGATAGATAGATAGATAGATAGATAGATAGATAGATAGATAGATAGATAGATAGATAGATAGATAGATAGATAGATAGATAGATAGATAGATAGATAGATAGATAGATAGATAGATAGATAGATAGATAGATAGATAGATAGATAGATAGATAGATAGATAGATAGATAGATAGATAGATAGATAGATAGATAGATAGATAGATAGATAGATAGATAGATAGATAGATAGATATGATTTGAGACCAAATAGTAAAGAAAGGGAATTCAAGACCCTGTATGGATAAACCTGATAGCAACTTTCTCCTAGAACTAACGCTATAATTTCCCATGTTAATGTTGCCACATTGTACATTTCTAAAGCCATTTACACGTTCTTTCAAATAAACCTCTCAGCTGAAAAGCGATATTAATATTTTTCAAAAGATCGCTTCCATTTAACCCGCGTAGTGGCTTTTTATTTTTGGTTTGTGTTCTTGCTTTAAGAACCTCACCGGTGAATTAATCCGCATGTAAAAAGAGCAATACTCAATTCGGAACGTTCTAGTGGTCCCGGATTCGCTCCTAAATGAAAAATTGTACTGTTTTTCCTCTCCCCCTCCCCCGTTTCTTTTTTTGTAATCGTGTCATGTTTGTATCCTTTGCTCTCTACACAGCTTCCTACAGCTCGACTGTTTTCTTGACACATTCGCTGGCATATTGATAGACTTTTAATCCGTGCGGATGTGTTGCAATAAAACTAGCTACAGAGAGATCTGTGTTTTAGACTCTGAATTCCCACTGGTCTTTCCTCAAACGAAGCTCGTCAATGTAAAAAGCCTTCCAAACAAGCTGAAAGCCTACCTGACACCTCATCCTTTATTCATTATTATTATTATATTTCAAATCTTTAATGCGCTCTGACTCCTGCAAGTCTTTCGTTCTGAAGTTGGTTGTTTTGGGGTGGTTTTTTGTTTGTTTGTGTGTTTTTGTTTTTGGGTTTTTTTTGCAAACTGGATCTCAGTAACAACAACAATCATAAATCATAAAATACACACAGTAGTGAAGATAATAAACTTTACATTGAAATACTCTGCAACCCTAATTTGTGTGGTAGGATGATGTATTCCATTCTCCCTCCCTCCCTCACCTCACATTTGTGTCCAAGGTTATTCTCTGGTTGCCTGATGTATTGTTTTATTACATGCCGGCATGTCCATATGAGTTCCTGGATTTGTATTGCTGTCTACATGACAGATGGTGTTCTGTGAAGCTGCAAGAAGATACGATTCAATTTTCTTTTGAAAGGCACGTCTAAATTCATTCATTTATTTATATATTATAGAAGAGGGGGAGAGAGAATGAAAAGAAACCGGGAAGTTTCTTCTAGCCATCTTTAATAACCTAGAACCCACAAATATCCCCATCCAACCAGTTACTCTATAGAGTCAAAAAATAGCATTAAGAAAGCACCCCTTCTTTGAACAGGAAGAATAGAATAGAGGAGATGCATTCGATCTTATAGGTTTGCTTGTATCTCCCCCATATTGCCACACTGGCCTTGTTATGAATAAGGGCCCTTGACTTATATTTCTTTCTATTTTAAGGCATAAAATCCATCTTGGATTCCATTCCCGTGTTAAGACAAAAAAGTTTAACAGACGATTGATAGAGGTGAAATACCCTATTTAAAAAGGAAAACTCTATTTAATATTTGTAGACGAGCTGAATTATATTATGTATTATTCATTATTACTTTTTATTGTTATTATTATTATTATTTTACTGTGTTATTGCTCCCGGGGCCTGTTTCCAGAAGCAAACAAACTAGGGAAATGATCAGAGGAAGAACATTCTGTAAAAACTCTTGACAGATGTTAGAAATTACATGGTAAATTATATATAGTCTAGTTTACTACTATTATTGTCGTCATCATCATCATCATTATCATCGTTAGTAGTTACCCTTTTCCAATTAATAAAAAAAAGCGTTTGAGTTTCCTCTACAGAAATCTCTCCCCGAATACTCTAGGTAAGCTATACTATTTATCTTTTGCATCGTTTCTATTTTGCTGAGATGGGGGTTGTTTTGTTTTGAACCAGTGAGCTGGGATTTACAAGCCCTTGGGAGAATTGGGGAGGAGGCTCCGGCAAGGGGCAGGCCATTGGTAATTATTATTTATTGTTATTGTGCAAAGCCAGGTAAAGGCAGATCTGAGCAGAGACTAGCGGGCATGGCTCTCCCCTGGAGTAACGCCGCTGAAGTCAATGACACAAAGCTAAAACGGGCCCGAGAGCAGAATCAAACGGTAGACTAGTCTGGTTATCCCCAGACTGCCTCTGTGCCCAGCCACACTGCTGTCTCATTGTTAGCAACAGGCCCTCTCTCAGCGGGTTTCCTGGTTTGATCTGGTGTCTCTTTCCCCTTGGGACAAATTGCTCTGCTTTGCAACGGTGTCAATCCGGAGTCACTCCCGGGCCTTGGCTAGCGTGTGACGGGAGCAGAGTGTGGCCCAGTGTCAGGACTTGGGAGGCGATTGCCGGCTGGCGCCCCCTCCCTGGCTCCCCTAGGCTCTCGGCCGTGGCATTTCCGGAGCCAGGGGGTGTAATTCCAGGCCGGAATCCGGATTGGAGCTGCGGGGTGGGCCGGGTTGGGCTCTTGTCCGGGGCACACGGGCTTTGCCGTGGGCTTCCACAGTAACCGTGTGGCCTTTTTTGTTCCCTGCCCCGTCTCCTTCCCCTGCCCCTTCCCTTCTTCTCCCTCCTTCCCCCTACCCCTCTGTGTCACTCAAGGCTCATTTCCCCACCCCACCAAAATGATGCTCAGCCCGGACCAGGCGGCGGACTCCGATCACCCCTCCTCCCCTCCCTCGGACCCCGAGCCGTGGGCTTCCACAGTAACCGTGTGGCCTTTTTTGTTCCCTGCCCCGTCTCCTTCCCCTGCCCCTTCCCTTCTTCTCCCTCCTTCCCCCTACCCCTCTGTGTCACTCAAGGCTCATTTCCCCACCCCACCAAAATGATGCTCAGCCCGGACCAGGCGGCGGACTCCGATCACCCCTCCTCCCCTCCCTCGGACCCCGAGTCGCTGGCGGGGCCCGACGCCAAGGGGCTGCTGGGCTGCTGCGCCTCGGACCCGGAGCCGGTGGAGGAGGGGGGAGCGGCGGGGGCGGCGGCGTGCCACGGCCAAGTACCGGACAGCCCACGCCACGCGGGAGCGCATCCGTGTCGAGGCTTTCAACATGGCCTTCGCCGAGCTGCGCAAGCTGCTGCCCACCCTGCCCCCGGACAAGAAGCTCTCCAAGATCGAGATCCTGCGCCTGGCCATCTGCTACATCTCCTATCTCAACCACGTGCTGGACGTGTAGGGCCTGCGCCGCCCACAGCCGGACCGCGGGAGCCCTGCTGGAGGCGGAGGAGGCGACGCGCACTGCCGGGAGGGGAAACTGACCAGGGGAGACACTTGCAACACATTCCAGCCAGGGGAAGGGGGGATCTGCAGGTTCCCCCGTCCCAGCCCTGCCTGGCAGAGCCGGGCTGCATCGGAACCTTTCCGGACAGCTTTGGGGGCGCCCCACCGTCTTTCCATTGCAAATGCATCTGCCTTTTCCAAGACAGCTGTAGGGCGTGATAACCAGCGCCGAGATCATTCCTGTCAATAGACCGCTCTCTCCTGCAGGGCTAGCTCCTTTGGCAGTCCCGCTAGACTCCGCAGGTAACGGGACTTCCCTGCCCTCCCTTTCTGACTGCTGGCCCGGCTCCAGGGGACACACGCTCCGAAACTTCTCCATTTCTCCGCCATGAAAATCCCACCGTGCCCAACGCAAAGCGGAAGAGAGGCGCCCGGTGGGTCTGTTTTTCGCACCAGAACTTGTCCAATTAGCCTCCAGCTCAGCAAAGCACTTGCCAAGTCAATGGCACTTTAAAGTTCTAAAGTTCTGCAGGCTGAAGTGCTTTGCTGAATGAGGACATTCAAGGCCCATAGAGTGAAAAGGAAGCTATGAAGAACATAGCAAGTGAAAGGGCAGATGCATTTCCAAAGTCTGTAAAAATATACTGAATATTTTGCAAGGGTTTCTTTTTTTAAATCATTTCCCACCAATGCTACAAGGTGAAAGAGCAGTTTGGTGACTTTATAGAAAGTCCAGTTTTAGAAGGAAAATGTAAAATCAGATTGTTTTTCAGGCTGTCAAGTGCCCCTTTATAGATCCAAAAACATCTACTTGTGACCTTAAACATGTGACCCATGGGTGCAGTTAAAAATAACTATTTTTTATTTATGTTAGAAGGAGTAGACAATTTATTTTTTTCAAGACCTATTTATTTTTCTGAGTGGTGGCAATTTTACTTTGGATACTTTGTGCCAATTGGTTTATATAGTCGAGTGTTTACACTTTTTCCTGTGGAATATTATGTCTAACTTTTCAAGTGTTTGTTGGGATCAATACAGTGTTTTGTTTTGTTTTGTTTCGTTTTTTGCTCCAATTATATTGCACTTGTATAAGACAACCTTCCCTTCCACCCTGTTTCTAAGTATATTTTACATATTAGACATTTGTTCTTGAAGGTTTTTTCTTTTTGTGTGGGATCAACACTAGCACTTCACTAGACTTTTTTTATATACTTCTTGTTATTCTGAGCTATAGTAATGTCTGAAAAGTACTTTACAAACAGTTTATAAGGGAAGTAGTTTTTTGTCCGTGTGTGTGTATGTGTGCGTGTATGCGTGTGTACGTATGTGTGTGGTATTTTTTTAGGAAATAACTTTTTTTTCCTAAAAAAAGAAATAAAAATAACAATAAAAATATATCCGGGACTACTTTCCTTTGTGACAACCAAAAATATTCTATAACCTGAAAATGTTTCATGTTCTTTGCTGTGAATCTCTCAAAACAAGGAGCGCGTTTTAGAGACAAAAAAAAAAAGAAGTCTGTGATCCAAAGATTTTAATCTTTTTCAGGGTTTTTTCGTGTGTCTCTGTTGCTTTATATAATGCAATATTTTGTAGTGAAAATAGATAAATCTGGTTTCTATCTGACGCGTTTTTCATATCTCTCATGAATGGTGCGCTGTTTTGCATATAAATAAAAGTATCAAATAAAGCTGTTTTTTCCTAATTATTTTTCTTTGGTGTTTCCATAAAGTGGAAATTAGAAGGGATGCACAGCCAGTATTGGCATTAGCTTGTTGAAGTCTTTTAAAGTTGTCTGTGGATGAGTTTCAACAGGTTGTACAAAAAGGGACAGTTGCAGTCCGATACTAAAGATAATAATGAATCCGGCAATAAATAAATCTCTCAAAGAAGGCCCTGATCATACATCTGGGCTCAGATTCTGTTGGAGGATCAGGGCCTAAATGTGTATGAGCTGAGGGACATTTCTTTCCACCCCTGCTCATTCCGCCAAGCATCTGGTGGCACACTTTACAGATCAAGCTGTGAAGTCAAATCAAACCTTTAGAACCACCTGTTTTTACAAGTTGTTTCTGATGCCTTCATCTATGAGGCTGGTATTTTATGTGCTTTGTCCCTGCCTGAACGTGAGAGTGTTTGTTTGTTTGTTTGTTTGTTTAAGTTTAATTAAAATCCCTTCTGCTGGTTCTGAGTTGGGTGAAGTGAAATAAAAATACACTTTTCTAGTTCATAAAAATCCAACTCCACTTATTTGGAGAGGGCTACTGCTAAAATGAGTGACATTTGAAACACAGCATTAACGTAGACCCAATCCTGTAAGGTCTAGACTACAGAGAAGATCGAGGCTGTCGCTGTTGATCTTTTAGGGTTCAAATTAGCGGGTTTAGTGAAGACAGCTAATGCGAACTGAGAGGGGCACTCTGGTCAATGCTGGTAATCCTGCTTCCATAAGAAATAAAGGAAGTCTGACGAAGAGCGTTCTCCCTTTGACTTCCTGCTGTGTAGACAGCGCCAAAAGCCAAGTTAAGCTACTTTGACTTCAGCTGCGCAATTGACGCAACTAAAGTTGCATGTCTTAACTCAACTTTAGCTTGCAGTGTAGACGTACCCTATAGATATATTACTGGGGGGGGGGGGTGAAATTCACACTATGCAGAGAACCAGACAAGGCATATGCACCATTTAACTCACAATTAAGCCTTGTCTGGCTCCTCTGCGTGGGGTGGATTTTATCCACAGCATTTTACTCTATGAATTGTCCCGTTAACTATAGGACGTATATCTTCACCACTGTAAACAATATGTCCACCATAACTGCTTGAAGCATGAGGCTCACAATCTTCACTGATGAATACAGGCTTTGTATACATGCAGTAGAAGGTGTTAACTCTAAAGGTGCTTGCTTTCATATACACCGTGGAGCATATACCGAGATTGCAGCCAGAGGAACCCTTTTCCAAATGCTACAACTTTAAATTATTGTGTAACTTTAAACATTTTGCTCCGGTTTTCTTCAAATCTGGCTTGTTTTATGGAGACTTCTCAGAGATTTATACATTATGCAGAGTGTGATGATAATTGACTCAGCAGGTTTGAAGTTATAAACATTTACATTTAGCAAACCTTGGCACTACCTTAATTCACACAGAGTTATAAGACCCATATGCTGTCTAAGTGTGGCAATGCACATTAGAGCCAGTTTCTACTCTCAGTTACACAGGTGTAAATCAGTAGTAACGCCACCAGTGTAAATAGGCTGACTGGTAGCTCTCTGTGAGACTGCGTCTGCTTTAACTGAAGTCAGTCTGGTGTGGGAGGAAAAAGGATGTGTTTGACGTCAGTGGTAATAGGATCAAATCCTACATGTGACTTGTTCCAATTGTCATTTGATGGCTGATGCCAGTTAATTATAAGAAACTTAAGCCTTTTGCTCCCTACATCTTTCTTTTTCTTAATAATAAAAATCAACATAATCTCTGAGAAAACAAACACAAGAAACAAAGTTAGTGCAACATGAAGCCTGGATAGTTAAGCATTGCAAAAGCCAGGAAATGCCAAAATGAAGATCAAAATGAACAACCTTAACTCTACCCTGTTGTGCTTGTGCATTATGAGACAGACACCATCTTCCGCTCATAGGTTAACATGGAGTATGTCTACACTACAGAATTTTTTCAGAAAAATGGACATTTTTCCAAAAAAACTTGAGTTATGTCCACACTGCAATCACATTATTTTGAAAGAAAATCAAAAGAACAGAGGAGTTTTTCCAGCATTGGTAATCCTCTTTCTACTAGGAAGAAGCCTTTTCCCGAAAGAGCTCTTTCAGAAAAAGGTGTGTGTGGACGGGGAAGAGGGAGTTCTTTCGGAAGAAGAGGAAAAAGCACAGGTGCCCTGGTGGCCACTTTGTCCACAGTAATCACAGCTCAAATGCGAGATAGCATCCATTCAATGTGGATGCTATCTTTCAAAAAAGTAGATCGCTTTTTCGATACGCTCTGGCAGTGTGGATGCTCTCTTTTGGAAGAAGTTTTTCCGGAAGATCTCTTCCAGAAAAGCTTCTTCCGAAAGAGGCCTGAAGTCTAGACATAGCCTTGGATGGATACACTGTACCTTTAGTTAGTAGCAAAATATATTATTTGATTTACAGGATGCGTTCACATGTTAAGGACTGTATCATTTTGTGCAGGCCCACTATCAGTGTGCAGACTCAACATGAATATTGCTTAGTTTTTAATGTTTAAACCTGTAATCTTACTGTTGCACTAATGTGGCTTTTTAATGTTAAAATGGAGCCCACACTGCAACCATAGGTATGAACATGCTCAAAACTCAGGAGAGTTTAGTTCTGAATCCAGGCCTAAATCTGACCCTGACTACCATGGCTTAGGTCCTTTTCTAATGATCACTGATATAAAGTATAAGACAGAGGCCTGGAATATACTACTGCCAGACAAACATGGGAACTGTCTCCAATGTACAGACCTGGTGCATTCCCCTAGCAGATATCCAACAAGCCATTAACATAGTGAGATAAGACAAATCACTAACATACAGTAACGGGGCATTGTACTTCTAACATATGACATAGAATGCTGTGCTAATATACTGACAAGTGCACATGAATAACATGAGACACAAAGCATGCCACAAACATGCAATCACAAGGCATTCCACTGAAACACAGAACTGGATCCTCCCACTAATACAAAAACAGAGATCAAACTACTGCATACAGACAATGGACCCACACAAAGATACAAGGCACAAATGTATGCCACTTTATCCACACAAGTGTCCCTTACTCACACAGGTAAGCTTCCTGACTGCAAAAGGCCAATGTGCATGCATAAGGACTACTTATATACCCACTGTGCAGTGTATAATGTTTATGGCTGTGTCTAGACTGGTCAGTTTTTCCAGAAAATCAGCCGCTTTTCCGGAAAAACTTGCCAGCTGTCTACACTGGCCGCTTGAATTTCCGCAAAAGCACTGACTTCCTACTGTAAGAAATCAGTGCTTTTTGCAGAAATACTACGCTGCTCCCTTTCGGGCAAAAGTCCCTTTTGCGCAAAACTGAGATTTGTTTTCCACAAAAAAGCCCCGATCGCGAAAATGGCGATTGGGGCTTTTTTGCTCAAAAGCGCGTCTAGATTGGCCATGGACGCTTTTCCGCAAAAAGTGCTTTTGCGGAAAAGCGTCCGTGCCAATCTAGACGCTCTGTTCCAAAAATGCTTTTAACAGAAAACTTTTCCGTTAAAAGCATTTCCGGAAAATAATGCCAGTCTAGACGTAGCCTAAGAGATTGGAGGGTCAGGAGCGTAGAGCATTCTACAAAACAAGCAGGCCTGGGTTATGCTGCTAACAGACAGGCACACTTGAGATAAACTGTTTCCACACATGGAACATGCTTCTGACCTTCCAGCATGCTAGATGCTATGTTTATTCATAAATAGCTTAGCTACTGATGAAAAATAGCACCTTCAGGTTAGATAACATTATAAAGCCAATGCTTGGGCATCTGAAGTGATTTCATATCTTGCATTACTTCTACCAAAGGGGGAAGAAAATGATTCCGTGCATGTGTGAGCCTCAACAAAGACATGACACTTTTTCAGGGTATTGTT